CCGAGGAAGGTTATCCGAGAGTAGGGTTTGCAAAGTGGTTGTGAAAATGGAGCGTGAGCGTAGCAGGGGTGAATTAATGAACCTGAATTCCTCGCTGCTGCCCAGTGAATGCGCAACTCTTCCAGCCGCCCTCACCGTGCATTCCCATACCTTGTTCACAGAAACACTTCCATGCAGGGGACGTCCACAATTTCCCTGGGCAACCTGTTCCAGTGGCTTACCACCCTCTCGGTAAATAATTTCTTTCTAATATCTAGTCTAAATCTGCCCTCTTCCAGTTTAAATTAATTACCCCTCATCCTGTTTCTACATGTGCTTGTAAAAAGTCCCTCCCCAGCTTTCCTGTAGTCCCCTTCAGGTGCTGGAAGGCTGCTACGAGATCTGCTGTTGTTGCATCAGTAGACGGGGTTAACGGGAGATGGGAGGCTGGCACATCTGTTTGTACTAACTGGATGTTGGGCTGGGGCAGCCCGCATGCAATGGCTGGTTTTATCATGGAATCATAGAATGGTTTGGGTTGGAAGGGACCTTAAAGGCCCTGTCCCATGGGCAGGGACACCTCCCACTAGCCCAGGTTGCCCAAAGCCTCATCCAGCCTGGCCTTGAACCCCTCCAGGGATGGGGCATCCACAGCTTCTCTGGGCAACCTGGGCCACTGCCTCACGACCCACACAGGAAGAAACTTTCTCCTAATATCCAATCTAAATCTACCTTCTTTCAGTGGTATTCTACCCTCTTTATGTAGTATGGGGAAAGAAATTACTTTTGAGGCTGTTTTTTGTTGTCAGAGAGGTGGGATCCCCCAGAGAGCCGTGTGTTTCACATGCACTCGTGCTGCAGCGAGGCTGGAGGAGAAGCAGCAGCAGCAGAGGTGAAGGGGGGAGGCGGTGGCAGAGGGACCCGAGGGCAGGGTGAGAAGCTGAGGGGGAGATGCTTGGCTCCTGATCAGTCAGGTCACGCAGCCCTGATCTTACCAGTATCGATGAAGCCAAGGATGCAGAGCGTGATGGAGACGTTAATGCTCTGAATGATGAATTCCTGCCTCAGGGAGCTGAAAAATCCATCCAAGGCAAACTTAGTTGCAGAGTAGGGGACCGTAAGGGGAAACCCGACTTTACCTGGACACAGAGTGAAGTTCTGTTATAGCACAGAAAGCTGCTCTGCCTAGACCTCTGCTTTGCCCTTCATCAGTGTTTTACCCAAAGGGAGTTTACGGTTAGTGAAATGTCATCCTGGCACCTCAACAGCAGCATTACAAATAGTCCTGTCAGCTTCCAGCACTTTTAAGGTCTAAGGCCAAGACCATGGCTCATGTCTCTGCTCAGGGTATGAGCAGCCGGCAGGAACCAGGAAACCCTCAGAGGGAAGAGATGGAGCAAAGTTTAATCTCTTGCCTCTGCGTACTGAGCTAAGCTGATCACCAGAAGACTAACCAACACACCAGCTGTGAGGGGGAACATCTGTTGGTAATTTAGTTTCCTGACTTAACAGAAATTTATTAGAACAGTCATGTTTTTGCAAAGAGAGTCAGTCAATAACTCACTCTACAAATATTAGCAGGAACTAGACCTTCCCAACCAAGATGAACAGTCAGAGATCCAATGCAGTGAGAAATCTCTGCATTTCCACTTTTCTCCGAAAAACTGGAGGTGTATGAGCTCTGCTGCTCTATGAGCCTGTCACCAGGGTGTGGGGTTTAACTACAGGGCTGGTCAAAATGTGAGCTGGGGCAATGGGATTGTGTCAGGGAACCAAACCCAGCAAGAAAATGCAAAAAATACCTAGATTTGGGGTTTTTTGAATGCGTTAAGCAGTTATGGCTCCTTTGGGATGTGTCATGTCTCTGCATGGTGTTTAATTCTGAAAATCAACCCGTGGTGTCTCTTGCCCGAATCCCCCATCACCTACCTTGCTCCTTGCTCACCTGCCATGGAGGAAACCACCACGATGCTGCCCTCGCTCTCCTTCAGCATGGGCAGGGCAGACACCGTCATCGCCACGTAGCTGAGGAAGTTGATCTCCAGGAGCTTTCGTACGTGCCCAACATCCCCATTGAAATAACCAAAGTACGATGTGCCGACGTGGTTAAGGATCAGCATGTCGAGGCCGCCTGCGAGCAGAGGAGCAGGTGTTAGCGCTGGTGGGAGGGGGCTGCAAGCAGCAGAACGAAGCCCATCCTGGGAGCAGGATAAATGCCATCAAAAGAAATTGGGTTTTGGGGTCAGAGCTGTGGCCTGACATCTCTGGAGTAGGGATACAGTCTGGATGGTGGCTGCCAGTAAATATTTTTTTTTTGTGGTTCAAAACACAAACACCGTGGCACAAGGGAAATGACCCTTGAGTGGTCTGTGGGCATAGGGTGGGAGATGGAGTGCTCCCCACGGGGCTGAAACGCTGCATTTCCGCAGCCGTGACCCGTGACCGCGATAGCGGGGCTGCTGTGGGTCTGATGGACCATTGCAGACCGCAGCGGCTGGGGTGATGACATCCAGGATTGTGACACTGGAACAGGATGTCACGAGGGCGCGGAGCTGAAATTGAGAGCGCAGTTCAGCTCGAGCTGGAGTGATGGAGCCAGGCAGGGGAGTGGGACTGCAAAGGGCAGAATTAGGGGAAAATCTCTCATGCTTTTTTTAGCGGGCGTGCAGCAAAAAGCCGAGGAGGGATGCACCGTTTGTGTGAGCAGGCTGTAACGTACCCAGCGCGGTCTCTGCCTCCTTCACCACGTGCTCGGCGAAGGCCATGTCCTCCATGGAGCCGCTGATGTACCGCGCGGAGGCTGCGCCCAGCTCCCGGCACCGCTCCACCACCTGCCGACAGCACACGTCAGAAACCCCCTGCCCTGCCCTGCGGAGCCTGGTGCAGCCGCAAAGGAGGGTGTCTGTGCTCCCTGGGGTGTGCCCCCGCCTTAAAACAGCGGTTTGGAGTTTCGGGAGGGTGTTGGGAGGCTTTTAAGCTTCAAAGGGAGCCTGAAAAATTATTCCCGCGGTGAATGCATGACCCCAGGCGGTCTGGCTGTGCATGGGCGCAGTCCGTGCTGGAACCGCACGCGTGCAGGGTGAGCAGGAGCCTGCAGATTGCTGCCGTGGAATGAGGGCGTGTGTGCCGCCGAGCCTGTGCGTGTGGGATGTGTGTACACAACCCAGCAGGTTCAGATAGCGATGTGTGCTCTGCAGGGTGCACGGATCTGCAGGAGAGGGGTTTCTGTGCGTGCAGGAGCCCCGGAGAGCACAGCTCTGCAGAGCCGTGGATGGAACTGTGCCTGTCGCGTGTTCGTGCCGTGCAATCACAGGCGCATGTACTCATGCGTGTACCTGCGGTGTGAGACTGGCCTTCCCGTGTCTGTGTGCGCACCGCCGTGAACACGCGGGTGTGAGTGCTCGGCTTGCCATTTACTTTCTGCAGCTTGGCCTCTGTCCGCGCCGTGATCAGAATGTGGGATCCCATCCGCGCCAGGTGATACGCCATCTGCTCTCCAATTCCAGTGCTCGCCCCGGTGACGATCACCCGCTTCCCTTTCAGCATCTCTGGGGACCAAAGCACAGGGATTTAATTTATCCAAACCCTATTTAAAAAATAATAATAATTAAAAAAAATCCCCTAAATGCCCTTCAGAGTAAGTAGTTAATTGGAGGGTAAGTGAGCCTGCGAGCGCGGAGCGTCCGTCCCCAGGACGTCTCTTCCATCTGCTGGAAAAAGCTGTGCCGCGGAGCAGCTGCAGCTCCTCCCTGACCGCGGTGACACCGCGACAGCGCTCGGCTCTTTCAACAGTTTTTTCCAAAAGTCAGGAGACAACTTAGAAACACCCCGACTATTTTGTTATAAAAATCATCCACTAAGTTGCATGCTTTGAAACTTAAAACCCAACATTTAAAAGTCATGTTTATAGATTCTTTTTGCTACTGGAACAGTAGAAAACAGGGTGTTGGGAGCCGTCTCAGCCCCCTGCCTCACCTGCTCCCTCGGGAAGTATTCCTGCATGTTACTTGCTTGGTTTGATTTCAGATCTTTGTCAAAACAAGTTTCCAGTATCAGCTGCCACACAAAGGCTCGGACGTGGTTTGGTCCAAGCTCTGTACGGTTTTTTATGCAAAACACTCAAATGTGGCTTTTAAGATTTTTTTCTTTAAAGACAGATTCTCTCTTAATACTCACCCGGTGTGAAATTATCCCTCGCAGAATAAAACCAGAAGGCCAAAACCAATCCCAAAAAGGGAATGAGAATCTTTTGCAACCGACCCATCCCACTGTGCAGTCAGGAAATAAAGCATAAAACAGAAGAGAGGGGAAAAAAAAAAAAAAAAGCCACAACCCCCTCTGCAGATCAGCTCCAGAGGGAAGCAGCAATGCCAATCCTTTAAAACCTGTTGGCGAAGGAGCTGCAGCTTCCAAGGCACTGGAAAATCACGGGGGGATGGATAAGCGAAGCAAACCCTTTGATTTGCTCTCTGCTGGAGCCAGCGATCCTCGGCCTAACCGAGGGTGCTCTTGGGGCTCTGCCCGGCTCTTTTCATATTTCCTGTCCTACGTTAAAATGCAGAATTTTGCACAACACCCTGGAAGAGGTGTGTCTTTGCCGAGCAGCATCAAGTTTCACTTCGAGAACATTAGAGGCAGCTTTAGTGCAGGTGGTTCAACATCTTCTTTTATTCCCACTGGCGCTGTACGCGGGTGCGTGCGGAGATGCAAACTGGGTCCGATGGCTGCCCAGAGCCTCGCGGCCGGTCCAGCGCCGGGGGAGCAATGGGGGGCTGCTGTGCTGGGGGGGGACACACGCAGCCGGGGTCTGTGCTCCCCAGGGCATCACTGCCTGACAGCGGGATGCTGGGCAGCAGGGGCCCAGCAGCATGTACAATGCCCAAAAATGCTTTTCTGATTCAGGGTTTAATTTTTTCATCCCTGCCTGCTCCTGGGAGTAGATGATGGAGCAGGGGCTGAGCTGAACCCATCGCTAGAAGTGCCGCTGCTCCGGCTCCAAGGAGCCGTTTGGGCACGGGGTGGTTTGCAGTGAAAGGCTGAATGTTGTTTTCTGCGGAGAAATTTTCCTGCTCTGAGTTTGCAAGAGCTTTATTCTTTTAAGTGAATGTATTTTGAGGAAAAACCATGTAACATCCACTAGTTCCCCGAGTGTAGGCAGCAGCAGATTCAATGCCATCAATCTTGCGCAATATAGATCTAAACCGTGCTCCAGTTTTGGTCTGGCGTGGGAAT